AGGACTGATGCACTGATACAACACTTATATCAGATACTGATCAGACAGCTGGATGGGGCATTTGTAACAACACAAAACTCTATGGGGCTGACCTAGAGTACTGTGCAATAGGGTTGAGCTACCCCCAATTTCTTTATTTTATTTCCAAGGAGCCAGACTTTCTTGTAATTTTGAAAGTGGTCTTGGCAATAGCTTGCAGAAGTTTCTCTTTGGAGACTGGCTGCTTTTTCACTCATTTTCAGTCCAATTCTTGTACCTGACCATTTTCAAAGCCACTTAACATCGACCTATGAATCATATAATATAAAAAGGCTCCTAACTTGAAAGATGAACTAGTGTTGTTTTCATAAAACGGATAACTTAGCTAGGACGTGGCTGTCAAAAGGCCATATTTTTAAGGATAGCAAAAAGGGAAGAAAATGTTGAGGTATGCCAAACTGCACAATAACTAGACTAACTAGACCAAAGGGTCTGATGGAGTGATGAATCCAAATGTGAAAAGTTTTTTTTTTAGTTCTAATTGTTAGTATGTACAAAGGAGGTCAGGAGACAGCCATCTGTAAAACATAGTTGAGCTTCTGTCATGGTTTGGGGCTGCATTTCAGTCAGCGGTGTTGGAGATCTTGTCAAAATTGGTGAAATTATTATAAATTCAGAAAAGGAACACCAGATTTTGAGACAAGATGCAGTATCATCAGGATACCATCTGACTGACAACAGCCATTTCCATTTCTCAAACACACTGCCAGTGTAGTAAAAGCATACATGGAAGGACTATTCCTGAAGGACTATTCCTGAAGAGTGCTTAAAGAAATTACCAGAAAGCTTGGTTAAGAGAGGTCAGTCTCTATTTAAGAGTAGAGGTGATCGTGCCAAATACTGATTTTCAAGTTCATTAGAATTATATAAACTCTGTTTTACCTTATATATACCATATTTCCATGCATGTTGATACACATTTCCTTAAATTATTGCACCTATTTTCCAAGCAAAATATTAAACAATATATTTTTAAGAAAGGTGACTTAAGAGTTTTGCACAGCGCTTTATTTAATTCATTTCTATATTTAATAGGTTACTCATCAGAAAAAAGTGCACCAATAGAAATGGGTCAGGGAAGTGACACTGAGTATTTCACACATGCTACGCTAGAGCAGTGCGATATGACCAAAAATATTTATCACGATATACATTTGAAAATTTGCGATAACGATATAACTGACGATATAATTGACACTAGACAAAATACTTTACAACTCCACAATTTTATTAGTGTACGTGTTTTGTCTCTAGGGGCCACCGCATATATTTATATATAAACATATATAAATAAAACCACTTGTTTTTATGTTAGTAATTCCTTTTGTGCATAATTTTATATTATTGTTAATAATAAATTAATTAAAGCAACAAAACAACCTGAAGAGCCGGTTCGGAGCCGAAAGAGCCGGCTCTTTTTAGTGAGCCGAACCGAAAGAGCCGGATCTCTAAAAAGAGCCGGAAATCCCATCACTAATTAGTAAGCCATCAGCTTCATTACACTCATCTATACCTGTCTCTCTGTCCAGCTACACTCCATGTGTGTACAGAGGGGTACAAGTTTGAAAAAAAGTTTAATTTGAACCTGATGCTGCTTGAAAGATAAAAGAATGATTTCCAGTCTTTACCTCACAGTGAGAAACAAAGCTTGTTAATGTACACTGGAGCTGTATCAGTATTCAGTATTGGCATAAACCTAAAGCCAAGGTATCTGCACTGATACTGCAACAGACCAAGCATCCTAAAGTGCTGGGATAACTTTGTCATTGAAGACCCCTGAAGGAAATAAATGTGACATATATAAATAACAAGTCATTTAAATACACATTTGATTATTTTGCATTTACTGAATGTTTTTGCAAATTCAGGACAGGTAAATTAATGACTAATGTTTAAGACTAATACTAATGGTTTTACATCAGTGACCGCCCCGATCATGGTCAAAATATGAGCAAGGAAGGTTCCAAAAAAAAACCAAACAAACACAAAACGTGTGTAGAGAAAGGTATAGAAGCGCATCAAATTTTCTGTGTTTCCATTTAAAAAAAAATTTTTTTAATCCGATTCACAAAGCACACACATGATCCCGGTGGTGGATTATTAATAGCGAATCAAAAACTTTGTTTCCATAGTGACTGTTTGAGTCCATTATGGAAAGTGTCTCTTGTTGTTACCAAGACAGCAATCCAGCAAAGGCAAATGAATGTGGCAAACAGCTGAGTGATGCATTGAGCCAGTGATCTCTCCATAAACAAGCTCAGCCCCAAACCGGGGGCAGGTGGAGAACTAGAGGGATGACAATAAGAGGGTTGAAAGGATTTTCATGTATGTGGCTGTCAACCAGGCTCAGCTGGTTATATATATATGTATTCTTCATATTATGATTAGGTTTTGAATATGTTTCTACTTATGTCAACTCGTGACACAAAAGGAGCAAGGGGAGGTTTTATAAACTCACAAAACCAGCTAGCTTTCACCTTGTATTAGGTTTCATCTAAGTTCACAGAACTTAATCCAAAACTAACAAGGATGTGGGTGTATGGAAAACACGCTTTAAGCAAGACACCTTGGACAAACATCCTGTCTTATGACACTCGGCATCCATGCTTAACGAGCTTATAACTAGGAGTTATTCTAGGCATTAAGTGTTACAAGTATGCATGCACAAAACAGTATAGGCTTAAAGGGGAAAAATGGGATCCAAATTGCTAAAGTAATTTTGGGAAAACATTTCATAGTGGGAAAGACAGTGGGACTATTTGGACAGGAGGACGATCTCAATCCCAGCATGACCTCTGAAAGGCAGAAACAGTCTTGATGTCAGAATAAATTATATTTTTATAAAAGCCAAATCACATCAACATTTGACTAGCATACTGTGTGCAGCTACAACAGTGGGATTCCTGCATACTAGCACATATAGTGTAGCTGCGCTTAAGATACGTCAGGAATGATTCAAGTTTCTATAAATGACAAACAGCGGGGTTGCCATACAAAAATCAAGCATGACCATTTGAGATAAAGTGATAATCACAATCACACCCATGTGAATAAATCCTAAACTTAATGTTTGTGATTTATATGCTATGTTTTGCAGGATTTAAACATCTCATGCTATGACTTATTCATGAAAGAAGCCACTTTCACATTTTTTGTCCCATGAAATAACAAAAGCAAGAAAGTATAAATCAATTTAACATTATGTTCTATGGGAACAAAAAAAAAAAAAACTAGGTCACATTCACAAGTGAATCACACTAAGACATATTAAGTCATATAACACAGGCACACACGCACGCACACACTTTGAGAGATTACACAGCAAACAGATCATTAATAAGGGGACAAGCACAAATCTGCAGCCACCTGAACGCAGGACACTACACCCAAAAATATTTCAGCGATATAGCAATCTTGTCTGCAAGTACTGATAATACTGAATGTAGGCAAAGACTGCTGGTGGTTTGATGAAAAACAGCTTAAATAGTTTTCAGAGCAGCCAATCCTCCTTCCTAGTGTTTCACACTCACCAGCGACACAGACGTAAAAACACAGTGACAGACTAAGAAGTGAGAATCCAAGTCTGTTACATATTTTTATGTGTCACTAGTCTCATATAATGACATATGTGCTGGAATAAACAAAGACACTCAGCTATGCAGTTTGACTTTATGCTTTCTTAAACAGTGAGCCACACATTTACAGAATCACAGAATCACTGTTACGTAAAACATGTTTCCCAGTTAAACAGTATATTACAGGGGAATAGAGAATGAAGTGTTCCTCATTTGGCTGTTCAGCAATATAAAATAGTGATAATTTGTTGAGAGGTCCTTTGGCTTAACAATCTTATAATATAAGAATAAGAATAATCGAAGTAGATCAATAGATTACTTCAGTATTAATGCTGATCCTTCTCAGGAGTATCATTTTGGCCTTTCGTAGACACTACATTAAACAGGTTTAAATTTACGAGGCTGTGTGTTTATCTTGTGTACTGACTAAGAAATACACTTCTTTAAGAGGTCTAACATTGTATTCATTTGCACACAAGCAGCAGCTGATCAGCATCTCAGTGTAATGCTTTGTGGCAGGATTGTTGACACTGCGCCAGAGAGGTAGATCAACAGGATACCGGTGACACGGCAGTGTTCCTCATACATAGACTTTACTTGGGCAGATTGCCATGGTATACTGAAAACCTCCAAATCATATTTGATGACCTTTTTTTTTTAATCAGTCTGAGAGAACAATAACATCTGTTACAGGGTTTGTCATAGATCCATTTATTTATTCAGCTGCTGATAACCATATAGACTATATACGCAGCAGATAAATGTAGCCACTGACCCTGACAAGTGAAGACAAACTGTGGGAGACTAGATGCTGGGTAAAAAAACAAATACAAGTAAAAATCAGTGTCACACACAACAAGTAATTGTGAGGTCATTAGCTAAATTCACGGGCTTTGATCAGATGATTTTTCTGAAAATAAGTCCATGTTTGAGTAGATATAATACTTCAAAGAGAAAAAGGCAGGTGAAACAAAAGGTGGAACACAAAACTAAAAACCTGACATTCACAAGAGCGCCCAGCATGAAGTTGGCTTGCAAAAGGCAGCCCTTTTAGGCGGATGGTTGCATAACACCGCGTATGGGTGCATCATTTGCCTATTCAATACATTCACGGCTGAGTGCCCTTTACCAACTATGGTTTATACATTCTTCAAGCAGCAACACTTACTAGGTAATTACATGTATAATGGTTTTATAAAAAAATGAAATCTAGTGTCAAGTATATATTTCTGGATTTTGTCCATGTGAGACAAGTGAATAGACAGGCATTAAAGAGCACACCATTTTTGCACTTCATGGTTCTGCAATGTCTTCTAGAGTGTGACAAAGACATCTCGCAAACCAACAGCACGAAGGATTTCAACACTGTGGCAAAAACACACTTACGTGCCCAGGACGTCTTTGAAGTCATACTTCTCCTTTATGTCCGTGGTCTTCTTTTTCCAGGCATGACAGTCCTCATCCAGCGGCATCTTCTTGTTGGGACGCTCAGAAACAATGCTAGTGAGGAAAAAGGGGGATAAGGAGAAAATATTCATAAATATCGGCATTTAACTGCCATAAATACTTCACTGATAGTTCAGGGCTCACATCTCTTATGCTTTTTATTGCAAATCTATTTTTTACCCTTATCAGTTAGATTAAACATTTCATATCCAAATGTAGGTCACATTACTATGTGAGCATTATTTCACTGTGTTGGGAATATATTAGTTGTTTAGCTGATTTATTAGGGTGTGTATAAGCCAGGTGGGTGTCTGTTAAGCCACTTTTCCACTAGAATCCACATGACTCATCTCAACTTGGTTTTTAGGTTTTTCCATTAGGTGATAGTACCTTATACCAAGTACTTTTTAGTACCTACTAGACCAGGTTTCCAATCGAGCCAAGTCGAGTTGTGATGTCAACAAACTCCGTGCCACTGATTGGTCAAGGAGTGACGGTACTGGATGAGTTATGAGACCGACTCCTTCACAAGAATCATACCCGCCATTTTTTTATCCTGGCAACGAGGGAAATGGCCACACACAACGCCCGCCACCTTCTCTGGCCCTCTTCTTTCACACTGAGTATGACAAAAAGTCATAGACCAAGCAGCAGGTATACCATCACCTCGATGTCCTCCACTGTATGGTGTGTTTGTGTCTCATACAAATGAGATCACAGACCTTTCTACAGCGCCTTTCAAAAACTAACCACACTGAGTTGCAACTACAGGCAAACCATTGCAACACTTTGTTACAGCAACAGCTGCATGTTTCTGTTGCGTTTTCACACAGTCAACATTGTATGGCATAGGACTCTAAGCACAGGGCCAGGAGAGATTTGGTCATTTACACAAAAACACTGGTAAATATCTGGTCACGGTTGCTTGTGTGCTGGTGATTCCTTTTAAGTGGTTGTAACATGTAGTATATGCAGCGCTATAAAGCTTCAAAATGGCAAACAATAAAGTTCACTTCCAACTATATAGAGATGTTGTGAAGTTACGTCAGTGCAGTCATGTGCAATAAAATTTATAATCAGCAAAAGAGGAATTCATTGCAGACAGGGCCAAAAGCCAAGTCTTGTATCTGCCAGGTTAGTAAGTAAACCAAACAGTGACCTGAAGCAGTTCAGTTGCTGCTGTATGTCCTAAGTACATAACTTCAAGTGCTTAACTTCTTACCACTGCAGTTGTATCAGAGCTGCATACAACTCTGGTTGTATTATGGATCCAGATAACATATAAATTTGTCATCCTCACGCAATGTTTTTTTCACAGAGCTACAAAGCTGTGTTGACAAGTCCAACTTTAAGATGAGCCCCTCTGAAGAAGCACATTGTTATGAAGAACTGAAACTCAGATGTTTATGCTTATGAAACGTGTGTTTATCTATTTAAAGTTGAGCATCAGGCAAGTTAGGTGAACTCAAATAAAGTCAAACAAAATTAGATTCACACTCATATACCCGGCCAAGGTATTAAGCCCTCCATAAATACCCTTCTACCATTAAAAAGTTATAAATGCAGCTCTCATTGAAACAATGTTTGTTTCTTCCTGTTTTCTTCTCACTTCATTTTTCACACCAGAAGTTAACTTTCAGATGTTTGTCCTCACCACACTTTGAAGAGTGGGAGGGATCACAGAGGACCCTGCTGTCACAGCTATCATAATCTAAACCTAGAAAGTGCCTCAAGATCTCGAAGACTAAAATAGCCTTGTTCATATCAGCATGCCTCACTCCTCCTCTGTTCCTGCTGCCTGCCTGGCAACTTCACAGTCTGTCTATATGGGATGATATAACATATTGTTCTGGACTGGGCCAGTGTTGTTCTGCTAAAGGCGATATAACAGCGCAGTTAATCATCTTCCAATTAGTTCAGAATCAGCTCATTTTAATGCCGAGAGGCACTGTAGCCATATAAACAAGGCGAGGCTTAACACTGCAGTTATCTCAGAACAAATGGTCATGGCCTCTTCTAGCTGCAGGCACTGATTGGTGTACACGCACAGTAGCATGAATTCAAAGATTTTTTTTTTCCCACGTGTGTCCAGGGGTTTTCACATGATCACACACATACAGACGCACACAGACAGGCGCAGCGACAGTCGTGTTACCTTCACTAATGCCAGAAGTTGGCTTCATACATGTCGCCATGGAAACCCAAAGGCGCTGCTATGGTATCTGAGCGTCTAAATTGCTTTAGTGTCTAATGGCAGGTGGCAGCTAAGCTGGAAATCATTCTGGTTACTTTGACGGCTCGCTGCGGTGTGTTACCTTTAGCTTGAATATATCAAAATAGCCTGCTCAGACATAAAGTGCACATATATGCACAGGAAGAACTGTTTCATTTTAATCTACAGAGTAATTCTCAGTGCTAATTTTTGTATGTGTTCATGTTCAACTTCCGATATAATCTAAGGAACAAACCAACCAAATGAGCCTGTCGGAACAAAGCTTACCGTTAACATTTAAATACATATGAGTCATTCTACACCACATCATTTGGTGCGCTATTTAGAGAAGATGAAGTAAAAAGGAAGTGTCTCTAAATTAAACATGAAAACCAGCATGCAAAGTGAGGATAGTTGTATAAGGAAGTCCAGTTAACCATGTGTAAATACTTTACTGATACATCTGATGTTGCACAGCCTGTAGTCCTGTAACTACTGTGAAGAATCAACAAATAATAAAAGAACAGACTAACTGAATTCCCATGTGTATGCTCACCACCTGTCTCTTTCTGTGGAAACTGTGGATTCATTTAGCAATTTTTACTTTAATGTTTTCCTTACAAAATAACCTGGAGTAACTTCAAGTCAGGACCTTGAACCTGCACTGCCAAAACAACTACTTAAAGTTGATATGTTGCAATCATTTCTACCATCATAGTTGTTTCTTGGCCCCAACCACAGAAGCTTTGCATGATTCACTGTTCAAAATAATCTTTGTCTATCGCATTGTAGGATTTGGTGCAGCCCCTCAGTTTGTCCACATTCCAAAGCACAAAGTTATTGCTCCACTACCTTTAAGCCAAAACTCTTCTGATTGACTACCTGTTGCAAACAGAAGGTCTGAGCTGTTGAGATGATAACTCTCTTTTATTTACAACATACAGACCCAAGAGCAATCTGAAGTCTGAGCTTTTGGTTCACATGGATCGTTTGTACACGTGCTTTTTGAAAGTCTGGCATTTAACAGTATAATTTTATATAAGAAATATTTATTTATTTAAATATATATAAAAGATATATTTTATGAGAACTATGCAACTACACAGTCATGACCCCTTGGTTGTAAAGATGTTCGTTTTCTGTATACAAAATGGTTGGGTTGCATAATAAAAAGCTACAGTAAAACATGACTTCCATTAAGAGACTAAACAATGAATTAAACAACTGAAAATAAAATTCTTCACAGTTCTGAAAGGCTTTGTATTTTTTAATCCCCCTAACTGCATAAGAGCAAAAGACTTTTGAGAACATGAAGCCAGAGGAAGAGTGAAAACACCTCTCACATGCTGCTTGTTTGTAGCATCTCACCTTGCTCATATGGAAATTCATGTTAATTCATGCACTGAGAAGAAGTGACATTGAACATCAAAGTCATTTTTAATCCATATATGCGTCAACCTTTTGTTGCCAGTGGTTGCATTTTCTAAAGGTAGCATTACGCAGCAAATGCCAACATGCACCTAAACCTCCTTCACAGCACTTTTATATCAAAACAACACATTTCAAGCCACTGGAGTTTAATCCAGTTAGACATGAGCAAGGGTGTCTGTTGTTTTTTTTTTTTATTAAAAAAAAAACAGGCAAATGCTATAAACAGCAGATTAAGGTTCATGTTTCACACACGCAAGGGCAGAAAAGGCCAAAGCTTAAATATGTGGAAGAGTAGAGGAAAGATACATGCATGGTATTGTATGAGCATAAAGCGGATAAAAAAAAAGCCCTTCAACGTCCACGGATGGCATGACTTTGGCCAGTGGGACACGATAAGCTGCTCAACTGAGTAAATAAGCAACAGGACTGAAGAAGCTGGAGGTTGGAAAAAAGCACAATATCATAGTCACATTCCCTGAGAAGTAGGTGACATGCAGCATTCACCCCCTGTTGAAGAATTAGAGAGAGTCGCTGTACTCACTGGTTTCCCATTCCTGTGATGCGCAGTGGACAGAAGAAACACACACACAAACACACACACACACGACGACAGTTAAATGTGACAAAATGGCACGTGCAAAAAAGCTCTCTCCGGCCCTGCTAAACCGTCTCTCACACTCACAGACACACAAACACACACATGAACACACCACAAAATGAATGCAAAAGACTGAAAAAAAGAGGAAGTAGAAAAAGTTAAATTAACATTTAAGGAGACAGAGCTCTGCAAATAACTTATTTGGCTTGTGTCTCTATAACGATGCAGATAAACTCCAAATTGGTTCTGTTTATTATTCTTCTGTTTTTTTAAAGAATAAAAACTGATTTTGGCTCAGCTTAATCACTATTATTCCATACTTCTCCACACCATCTATGGCAAACTGAGGGGAAAATATGCTGCCAAGTATGAACAAAAAGTCAAAGACATGTCCAAGGAATGCATTCCTGTTAAAGCAGACAGAGTTCACTGAAAGCTCACTACACTAGTGCAAAGAGATGATCTTTCAGTGATTTTAAAACCTTCAGATGAGTCTGGCTATGTTTTTGAATCAAATTTCATAAACCTTCCCACAACATGTTTGGTTATTTATCTTGATATCTTTATTATCTCTTTGGAAAACTAGTGTTTTTGTTTTTGAGGAATCTAGTTTTTTTGTTTCTGAGAATGTTGC